AAAGCTGGCCAAAGGTTCCAATACTTTCTAAATGAGATAACTCTGGTATCAGAGCACATGTTTTGTGATATCAGAGCACATGTTTCGTGGTATCAGAGCCCAGGTTGACTTTGTCACTTAATAAAAAATGAATGGCATTAGTATTTCTATTGATAAGTTTGCTAGTAACCATACTAAGTATAATTCCATAGGTTAATTCAATAGTAATGTAGGATTTACCATTTTAGGACAACTAATACTAAAAATGAGATAGTTTTCAAAAAAAAATGCAAAAAAATGAGACATGAGAAACCTAGCTACTCTAACTCATATATGCATACATACATAATATATAGGGCACAAATAAATTAATGCTAACGTACTGGGTAGTACGAGAGATCAGAACCAAAATTAAAAACGACCAATAGAATTTGTGGACATTTTGTGTTCAGTGCAGTGCAATTATGTATACATAGGGAAGGTAAGGGCATGGCAATGGATGCTTTGTAGCTCACTGCAAGATCTTTCTTCAATTCTTCCTTCCTTTCATCTACATCCGCAGCTCCCTCTCCATCTTTGCATACAACATTGCTAGCTCTACTCTTTTATTTTTTTTCAACTTTCAACATGGTGACGCCCCTTCAAGCCAAGCTAGCTAGACGTTTCCAATGCTTTCTAAATATGATAGCTCTAGTTATCTCGTTGGTCCTCTATATACACAAAACTATTTATTTAGTAAAATTCTTACTTCTTTTGTTCAATCTGAGTATAACCATTGTTTTAGTGTACCTTTCTGTGGCTGTCATAGAAGTGCCCGTTCTCTTCCATATACCCATTTTGGAAATATCGGACGTAGTTATTCAAAATATGAATTGCTTTCAATAATTCATTTCGATAACTTTAACGTTTGATGCTTTTGTTATGGATTTAGCGTAGCTTCAATTGTAGCACAAATTCTAAAAATTCTGGATATCTCCCGTGGCGGAGGAGTTATATCAAAGAAGAAGGTATAGTTCCACCCCCTCCCCAGCCTGCTATACTTTCACCCCCACCTGCTGCGACGTCTCCTACGGTGGTAACCGTTTCCGATGTTAATCCACCCGCACCTGCTATACCTCCACCTACATCCCCAAATACTGCCGTTTTACTCTTTCTTTCAACTTTCAACATGGTAACACACTTTCAAGCAAAGCTAGCCAAAGGTTCCAATACTTTCTAAATGAGATAACTCTGGTATCAGAGCACATGTTTCGTGGTATCATAGCCCAGGTTTGACTTTGTCACTCAATAAAAAATGAATGTCATTAGTATTTCTATTGATAAGTTTGCTAGTAACCATAATAAGTATAATTCCATAGGTTAATTCAATAGTAATGTAGGCTTTACCATTTTAGGTCAACTAATACTAAAAATGAAATAGTTTAAAAAAAATGTTAAACATGAGACATGAAAAACCTAGCTACTCTAACACATATATGCATATATACATAATATATATGGCACAAATAAATTAATGCCAACGTACTGGGTAGTATGGGAGATCAAAACCAAAATTAAAAGCGACCAATAGAATTTGTGCACCTTTTGTGTGCAGTGCAGTGCAATTTTGTATACATAGAGAAGGGAACAGTAGGGCAATGGATGCCCAGCAACTCACTGCAAGACCTTTCTTCATTTCTTCCTATCTTTCATCTACTTCTTTAGCTCCCTCTCCCTCTCTGCATACAATCTAGCTAGCTCTACTTTTTTTTTTATTTGTTTTTCAACTTTCAACGTGGTGACGCCCATTAAAGCAAAGTTAGCTAAACGTTTCCAATGCTTTCTAAATGTAATAACCCTAGGTATCTCGTTGGTCCTCTATATAGCAAAACTATTTATTTAGTAAAATTCCTACTTCTTTTGTTCAATCTGGGTATAACCACTGTTTTTGTGTACCTTTCTATGGTTGTCATAGAAGTGCTCATTCTCTTCCATATCCCCATTTTGGAAATATCGGGCGTAGTTATTCAAACTGTGGATTGCTTTCAATAATTCATTTCGATAACTTTAACGTTGGATGCTTTTGTTATGAATTTAGCGTAGCTACAATTGTAGCACAAATCCTAAAAATTCTGGATTTCTCCTGTGGCGGAGGAGTTATAATCAAAGAAGAAGGTATAGCTCCATCCCCTCCCCAGCCTGCTATACTTTCACCCCCACTTGCTGCGGCGTCTCCTACGGTGTTGACCGTTTCCGATGTTAATCCACCCGCACCTGGTATACCTACACCTCCATCCACACATACTGCCGTTTTACTCTTTCTTTCAACTTTCAACATGGTAACACACTTTCAAGCAAAGGTGGCCAAAGGTTCCAATACTTTTAAATGAGATAACTCTGGTATCAGAGCACATGTTTCGTGGTATCAGAGCCTAGGTTTGACTTTGTCACTCAATAAAAAATGAATGGCATTAGTATTTCTATTGATAAGTTTGCTAGTAACCATAATAAGTATAATTCCATAGGTTAATTCAATAGTAATGTAGGCTTTACCATTTTAGGTCAACTAATACTAAAAATGAGATAGTTTAAAAAAGAAATGCTAAACATGAGACATGAAAAACTTAGATACTCTAACATATATATGCATATATACATAATATATATATGGCACAAATAAATTAATGCCAACGTACTGGGTAGTACGGGAGATCAGAACCAAATTTAAAAGCGACCAATAGAATTTGTGCATCTTTTGTGTGCAGTGCAGTTCAATTTTGTATACATAGGGAAGGAAACGGTAGGCAATGGATGCCCAATAACTCACCGCAAGATCTTTCTTCATTTCTTCCTTTCTTTCATCTTCTTCCTCATCTCCCTCTCTCTCTCTGCATACAATATAGCTAGCTCTACTTTTTTTATTTTTTTTTTACACTTTCAACGTGGTGACACCACTTCAAGCCAAAAGTTATCTAAACATTTCCAATGCTTTCTAAATGTAATAGCTCTAGTTATCTTGTTGGTTATCTATATACACAAAACTATTTATTTAGTAAAATTCATACTTCTTTTGTTCAATATTCGTATAACCATTGTTTTGGTGTACCTTTCTGTGGCTGTCATAGAAGTGCACATTCTCTTCCATATACCCATTTTAGAAATATCGGGCATAGTTATTCAAACTGTGGATTGATTTCAATAATTCATTTCGATTACTTTAACGTTGGATGCTTTTGTTATGAATTTAGCGTAGCTAGAATTGTAGCACAAATCCTAAAAATTCTGGATTTCTCCCATGGCGGAGGAGTTATAATTAAAAGAAGAAGGTATAGCTTCACCCCCTCCTCAGCCTGCTATACTTTCACCCCCACCTGCTGCGGCGTCTGCTACGGTGGTGACCGTTTCCGATGTTAATCCACCCGCACCTGCCATACCTCCACCTCCATCCCTACATACTGCCGTTTTACTCTTTCTTTCAACTTTTAACATGGTAAAACACTTTCAAGCAAAACTGGCCAAAGGTTCCAATACTTATCAATATAACTCTGGTATCAGAACACATGTTTCGTGGTATCAGAGCCCAGGTTTGACTTTGTCACTCAATAAAAAATGAATGGCATTAGTATTTCTATTGATAAGTTTGCTAGTAACCATAATAAGTGTAATTCCATAGGTTAATTCAATTCTAATGTAGTCTTTACCATTTTAGGTCAACTAATACTAAAAATGAGATAGTTTTCAAAAAAAAAAATGATAAACATAAGACATGAAAAACTTTGCTACTCTAACACATATATGCATATATACATAATATATATGGCACAAATAAATTAATGCCAATTTACTGGGTATTACGGGGGATCAGAACCAAAATTAAAAGCGACCAATAGAATTTGTGCACCTTTTGTGTGTAGTGCAGTGCAATTTTGTATACATTGGGAAGGGAACGGTAGGGCAATGGATGCCCAGTAACGCACTGCAAGATCTTTCTTCTTTTCTTCCTTTCTTTCATCTTCTTCCTCAGCTCCCTCTCCATCTCTGCATACAATCTAGCTAACTCTACTTTTTTTTAATTTTTTTTTTCAACTTTCAACGTGGTGACGCCCCTTCAAGCCAAGTTAGCTAAAAAATGAGATAGTTTTCTAAAAAAAAATGCTAAACATGAGACATGAGAAACCTAGCTACTCTATCATGAGACATGATAGTTTCCTATGATACACATATATGCATATATATATATATATATATATATATATATATATATATATATATATATATATATATATAGGGCACAAATAAATTAATGCTAACGTACTGGGTAGTACGGGAGATCAGAACAAAATTAAAAGCGATAAATAAAATTGGTGCACTTTTTGTGTGCTGTGGAGTGCAGTTTTGTATACATAGGGAAGGGAAGGGCAGTGCAATGGATACTTAGTAGCTCACTGCAGATCTTTCTTCATTTCTTCCTTTCTTTCATCTACTTCCTCAGCTTCCTTTCCCTCTTTGCATACAACCTTTCTAGCTCTACTCATTTATTTTTTTCAACTTTCAATGTGGTGATGCCCCTTCAAGCCAAGCTAGCTAGACGTTTTCAATGCTTTTTAAATGTGATAGCTCTAATTATCTCGTTGGTCCTCTATATACACAAAACTATTTATTTAGTAAAATTCATACTCCTTTTGTTTAATCTGGGTATAATCATTGTTTTTGTGTACCTTTCCGTGGCTGTCATAGAAGTGCACATTCTCTTCCATATACACATTTTGAAAATATCGGGCGTAGTTATTCAAGTTGTGGATTGCTTGTAATAATTCATTTCGATAACTTTGATGTTGGAGGCTTTTGTTATGGATTTAGCGTAGCTACATTTGTAGCACAAATCCTAAAAATTATGCGTTTCTCCAATGGCAAAGGAGTTATAGCAAAAGAAGAAGGTATAGCTCCACCCTGACCCTAGCTTGTTATACTTTCACCCCCACCCCCACCCCCACTTGCTGCGGCCTCTCCTATGGCGGTGATCGTTTCCGATGTTAATCCACCCCCACCTACTATACCTCAACCTCCACCTCCACCCCAACTTTCTATACTTCCACCCAAACCCCCACCCCCACTTGCTGCCGCTTCTAATGCGTTTGTGACAGTTGTCGCTGTTAATCCACCCTCACCTGCTATACCTTCACCTCCATCACCACCTGCTGTCGTTGTACTCTTTCTTTCAACTTTCAACATGGTAACACACTTTCAAACAAAGCTGGGCAAAGGTTTCTAAATGAGATAACTCTGGTATCAGAGCACATGTTTCGTGGTATCAGAGCCCAGGTTTGACTTTTTCAATCAATAAAAAATGAATGGCATTAGTATTTCTACTGATAAGTTTGCTAGTAACTATAATAAGTATAATTCAATAGTAATGTAGGATTTACCATTTTAGGTCAACTAATACTAAAAATAAGATAGTTTTCAAAAACAAAAATGCTAAACATGAGACATGACAAACCTAGCTACTCTAACACATATGTGCATATATACATAATATATAGGGCACAAATAAATTAATGCTAACGTACTGGGTAGTACGGGATATCCATACAAAATTAAAAGCGACCAATAAAATTTGTGCTTTTTCTGTGTGCTGTGCTGTGCAATTTTGTATACATAAGGACGGGAAGGGAAGGGCAGTGCATAGACGGATGCGGCAATACTTAGACGTTGGATGTTTTTGTTATATATTTAGCGTAGCTACATTTGTAGCACAAATCTAAAAAATTCTGGGTTTCTCTCGCAATGAATGAGTTATAGCCAAAGAAGAAAGTATAGCTTCACCCCAACTTGGTATACTTTCACCCACCTCCACTTGCTATACCTACACCTCCACACCAACTGCTACCGTTGTACTCTTCTTTCAACTTTTAACATGGTAACACCCCTTCAAGCAAAGATGGCCAAAGTTTTCCAATACTTTCTAAATGAGATCACTCTGGTATCAGAGCACATGTTTCATGGTATCAGAGCCCAGGTTTGACTTTGTCACTCAGTAAAAAATAAATGGTATTAGTATTTCTATTGATAAGTGTGCTAGTGACCATAATAAGTATAATCGGATAGGTTAATTCAATAGTAATGTAAGATTTACCATTTTAGGTTAACTAATGCTAAACATGTGACATGAGAAACCTAGCTACTCTAACACATATATGCATATATACATAATATATAGGGCACAAATAAATTCATGCTAAAGTATTGGCCGGGTAGTACGAGGGGGAGATCAAAATAAAATTAATCGCAATCAATAGAATTTGTGCACTTTCTGTGTGCTGTGCAGTGCAGTTTAATTTCAAAATGTTAAATTTTAATATGTAAATAAACGTATTTAAATTTAAAACTATTCAAATTTTATGAAGATATCGTTTTTAGTGTTTTTACATTTATCAGCTTATCTAAAAACTAGTTTTACCAAACACTTTTAAGCATAATTAACTAGCTTAACAGCTCTTCAATTTCCAACTTCTAGCTTATTGTTTTTCAACTTTTAGCTACCTTTTCAGCTAAAATTGCCAAACATAGCCACAATGTGAATATTAAATTATTGTAACCTATATGTCAATGTGTACACTGTACATAAATTAGTATAACTCATTGTACACCGATATTGTGGGTCCGTATTAGACGGGGAACCCGACTCTCCACCTCTTTGGGGGAGTGAATGGGCACAAAAATTGGAGATCGGGGATGGGGATGGACACAATTTTGAATTCCCCGTTGGGGACAGGGGCGAGGATATGGTGAGTATTCTTCCCTCCCCGCCCCGCTCCGTCCCTAATATATATATATATATATATATATATATATATATATATATATATATATATATATATATATATATATATATATATATATATATATATATATATATATAAAATAAAAATGCAGTGGTATTTTTGTAAATAATTGAACATCGATGTGCAAGTAAAATGTATTACAAATGCAAGTAATAATTTTATAGAGTGCACCTAAGTGCAAGCAAAATGTATTACTAGTGCAAGTAAAATGTATTACATGTGCAAGTAAAATTATCAATACTAAGTGTACCTAACATTATATTACATATTACTAGGAGACATTGTTGACTTTTTGTGCTTCATTAGATTGAGAAAGTATATTTGAACAGATACTGTTAATGAAATTATACGTACTAAGAAAGAATGTCTTATTATTAGTAGTCCACTAATTATATTAATATATTAATATATCCTATATATAATAAAGTCATATGGTCTTGTGAAAATTAAATGTTGATAATCAACATTTAATTTTCACAAGACCATAATAATATTGTTAATTATAATAACAATAACAATAATAATAATTGCAATAATAATAATGATAATAATTTCCACTGACAGTTTCTAATATATATATATATATATATATATATATATATATATATATATATATATATTTATATTTATATTTATATTTATATTTATATTTCAATTTCTACTGGTAAATTATTGTGTGAATGATGGTTCACATAATTGTATGAATCATGAATATCAAATACATTTTTAATATATTAAAAATACATTATTTTTATATTAAAAGTGTTGGTAATAATGAACCAAAAATCGATTTAATATCGTAAAATAATATTTATATATACACACACGAAGTATATAAAATAGTATTCGATATATCTATATTCCAAATATATATATATATATATATATATATATATATATATATATATATATATATATATATATATATATATATATATATATATCAACCAAATGAAATTTATAATCCACAGATTATAATTCCAACCAAACTAAAACAGAGAAGGAGGATTTTTGCTTAGAAGCATAATCCAAAACCGAGAGAAGGAAAGATTGGCTCGTATTTGGGTAAGGGTTTTTAGCGTGAGTCAAGAGACCACTATTTTCTTAAAACCTTATTTGCCACCTTCCAAAAGTGCTAGGAACGTCGTGGTCTAGGTTTCCCAAGATAAAACGCGCTACGATTCGACGTTCGAGCACCCAAACGAACGAACCCGGCGAACTAGAACAAAGCCTTGAACACAGTTTAGGCAAAGAAAGGAGTAGAAGCAGAAGTATTTTGAGACTTGAAAAGTGTATTTTCGTGTAGTGTGCTTGTTAATATTAATAGACTATTAAATTAATAAAATTAATACTATACTATTAATATTATTATTAATAGCATCAAAGTGACTAAAATAGCCTCACAACCCCCCTTTAATGTACTTTCTGCATTCACTCTACAAACTCTTAATCCATTTCCAGAAGGTCCACTCGTTCTTCTTCTTCGCTGAGCTTTTATGTTTCGTCACTTTGAATCTCTACCATCTTAGCTAGCAAAGTCCTACAAAGATGATCCTTGCGCAATTTATTCTTCTCTGCGATTGTATGGTCGTATGGCCCAGTTTGTCTAGGGTGTCTAAGCCCCATTATTTTAGATGTGTAGATGTTAAAATTCTAGGTTGAATCTTGCAGTAAAGGTAAGTTGTATAGTATATCTTTCAATTAATTTCTATTCTATCATACAAATCTTAAGAATTTTAATAGATACTGACAACCCTAATTGTTTATAATGCAGTTCTATATTTTGTTTACTTCCTAAGTCGCATTACAGTATAGATCTTCTGAAATGATTCATTCGAAAGCATATGCAGAACAATTTTGACTATGAATGATATTCTGAGGTTAGTATTTTTTTTTGGTATTTGTTAGTATATTGGCAGGATTCGCCGTTTTAAACCTACAAAATTATTTCAATTTGTTGGTTTAATTGTTTTTACAAGTTAACTTTCTACCCTACATACTGTTTGAAAATCATTCATTACCTTTACCAATTGTACTCTAATTTTCAACTCTATAGAACCCTAAAATGTATGCTAAGACTGTGATTAATATCCGGTTACAATATGTAGGCTATGTCTTTTCAGACTTCTCTGTTATACTGCCAATCTTTATTTATTTTTTACATGCTATAATTATAGTTTTCCTTATACGTTATACTGTTTGAGTTGGTAATGCTGTTTCAATCTATAATATCATGGTTTTGGTTTTTGAAGTAGGTATTCTCTATAGTAGTATACTATTAATGTGTTTGAAGGCCTATGAGTCTCTGAATTACAGTAAATTAAAGTCACCATATTTTGCACTCCTAATACATGTATTTAGCAATAACATCTCTGTAAAATCCTAAAATGTAGATATCAGTTACTAATAATATTGAGAAAAGATCGATTAAGACAAACTTTATAGTAAATTAGAAAAAGAACAAAACTTTACACATTCATATGTGAGCCAAAAAATCAGTTTTTCAACTCACAGTTCCTATATGAGCTAGATTATGTTAAGTAAGCTCACAGCCACGATTTGTTTTACAAAAATAGCCCTCTCATTACATGGTACCTTTCAAACTGGGGAAGGGCCTTAGACAGTTCATGTGCCATTTAAATTTTTCTGAATTTAATTCTTTCAAAAATGTTTCATGGTTGAATTTTGACATGTATGGGTGCAAGCTAGTCTTGTAGGTATGAGCTTATTTTGGGAACATTACCAAACAGAGCTTATAGCTTATTAGTAGCTTAAAATAAGCTATAAGCTCTAAAATAAGCTATAAGCTCCTAAATAAGCTCTGCCAAACAGAGCCTTAGTTGGTAAATAGTCTAAGAGTTCTGATCGTACATTAATTCCCAGAGTATTAAATGGTGTCATTGATTCTCGAATCGATTCGATTTTTTAAACAACAGTCCTAGATTAAACAAACGTGTTGCAAACAATTAATCTAGGGCTGCAATTAGTAATCTTTCCTTTCACATTTACACTGGGCTACAAAATATCAATACATTTCCGTTTTTAAATTTAAGTTTGTGCGGTAATTAAATAACATTGGTAGAACCAGTGCTTGTTAAATAAAGAGTTAATTCTTGCATTGGTCTTTCGACTATTATGATTTTTCACAATTAATCCTTGACTTTTAATTTGGACAATTTAGACACTTGACTATCAAAATGTTTCCAATGTTGGTCCTTACATCCCAAACTGGTTAAGTAGACGTTAAAATGAGGGCTAAAATGTCTTTTAACATGCTTTGCGTATAATACATCGTACTTCTCCTCCATATACGTGCGATTAAAATCAAAATACCCCTTTTCTGTTAACTTGTCGTTCTCCTCCATCTACGAAAATCTGTACCTGTAGTTCAATAGTTGACTCTAAGGAAGACCGTGATGATGCTGAGAAGAGGTTTGCGGACATTGACAATGCTGAGAGGGAGCTTGAGCTCCGTTTCCACGTAGCCGGTTTACCGTAGCTTCTCCGCGAAGTCGTTTTCGACGTCTCCACCGGCGTCCAATGCCGCGGCCGTGGCTTCCAGCCCCGCTGCCGACTTGACCGAAGAGAATCTTCTGATCGACGACGACGACGACGTTGTTTCCAAGCCTGATACGATTCCGACTCTGCTTCAACCCGACGTCATTTATGATGGCATTTGCCATCTCTGTCACAAAGGTACACACACAATCATATATGTTTATGATGGCGTTTGCCATCTCTGTAGGTGTGAAGTGGGTGATTCGGACAGACATAGATAGAAAAATTAAGTTCTGTTGCCTTCAGTCAAAAGCTATTGAACCATACATGAGTCTATGTGGTGTTGATCGAAATGATGTTCTTCGCCGCTTCTTGTTCATTGAAGGCCCAGGTCTATACTATCAAGGCTCTAGTGCTGCATTGAAGGTTTTGTCCCACCTGCCATTGCCTTACTCTATCCTAAGTAGTTTCATCGTTATCCCCTCACCTTTAAGGAATGTTGTCTATGACTATATTGCAAAGAGACGCTATCATTGGTTTAGAAAAGATGATGATTGCTTGGTCCTGAATGTGGACCCTATCCATTTTCCACGCTAACGGCTGGAGCTTCCCTTGGGGAATGGCCGCCATGGGGGGCACCAATATCTGCTGCCAGAAAGTCGACGCCGCCAACATCTATTCCGCGATTCGAAACTGGAGGGTAAGTCTCTGTCGCGTCCAGTTCAAATCCCGACTTTCGGAGCGCTGCCGCCGTTGACGATTTTGTTGCAATAGAGTCGCTAGGATTTTCGTGGATGGAGGAGAACAACGATGTCAGCCACAGCTACGGGTTAACACAAAAAGGGGGTATTTTGATTTTAATCACGTATATGATGGAGGAGGATGTAATATACGCATAGCATGTTAAAAGACTATTTTAGTCCTCATTTTAATCTACTTAACCAGCTTGGGATGGAAGGACCAGAATCATTTTGATAGTCAAGTGTCTAAATTGTCCAAATTAAAAGTCGAAAGACCAATGCTGGAATTAACTTTTAAATAAAATAAGTAAAGTGTCATCCCGCATCATGAACCATTCCTGATAATTCATGTTGCACATCGATCTTTAATAAGTGATATTTCGAGCCATAAACTATTTTTTTTTTCCGCCTAACATTTTTCGTAAGTTTTCCGGTAAAGATGATGACATGGCGTCGATTTCTTGCTGATTTGGAGTCAATGTAAGCTTTATTTTTATAAAATATATAAAATTTAACGCAGTAGCGTTGAATCAATTTCTAATCACTAGTACAGAAACAGTCATTCGCGTCCAAAGTAAAGCCTAATTCGCGTCCAAAGTAGCTGGGACGCTGATTGTATATACTTTGGACGCGAAAAATGATAATTCGCGTCCAAAGTTCGTCAACTTTGGACGCGAAAAATGATAATTCGCGTCCAAAGTTGAAGAACTTTGGACGCGCGTAAAGTATTTTTTATTAAAAAAAATAAACACTATACGCGTCCAAAGTTCATGAACTTTGGACGCGTATAGTGCTTGTATTAAAAAAAAATACTATACGCATACAAAGTTCATGCGTATTATACGTATTATATATATATTGTTTATATTTAAGATAAAAAACTGAAATCAGCACTAATATATTAATCCTAGATGATCAAACACAACAACCAGCAGAGTCTATTCCACTGAGAATTCACCTGTTAAGATCATAAAATGAGATTATTTTGAAATATCAATATTTCTAGAACCTCCAAACAACAAGAAATGAAGCAAGGAGATTGACTTGGCAGAGTAAGCTACAACTACTCATGATGAAAGAAAGAAAAACAAAATCAGACCTTCACAGTCCAGTTCTTGTCAACAAGAAGATTTGAAGACTTCAAATCACGGTGAAAAAGTGGTGGGCTGAGATGATATAGGAGATAATTCATCCCCCGTGCCTGCAAACAGAAATATAAAGAAACTTATGAGAACTTTTATGAAATGAACTACATTAATACTTACTAATTTCTCAACAAATAAACACAAAAAGATGCTAGACGTAGTAGCAGAAAGGAGAAATATGTAAAAAAAAAAAAATGAATGATAATCTGATGGGAACAAACAAAAGAATAGAGACTTTCAGGGCTAAATTGTACATGCAGCATGTTGATTACAAATAGTGAATATGAAATTCTCAAGGTGAACCAGTTAGAATCCTACTTCTATACCCATGGAAGGTCATTCATGTTAATGATAAATGCCAATTGCTCTGGAAGTAGCCAAAGAAAAATAAGAAGGAAAGAGAATTAGAGCAAATAGAAAGTTGATGAGTAACCTTGGGAGGAACTCGGTAAAAATAAGAATGGGAAGAGAATTAGAGCAAATAGAAAGCCAGCACCAAACAACATTGTTCCCTATGCAATGATTAAAAAACAAGACCAACTGGTAAATGAAGTAAATAAATAAATGCATGCCATATATTACAAAGGCACACAAATCATCAATATGAGAGGGATACATGGAAGCATATAGGGAAAGCAGGAAGCAAGAAAGTCAGGGGGTTATCAGAAGAAATAAGCAGAAACCTTATAGTTGCTACGTTTCATGAAGAACTGCATGGATGGCTTCAGACCAATCGTTAAAGCAACCCCTTATACGAAGAGGATCTGGTTCAGTAAAATGACGGCACGTTAATGGCTGGCATGTGGATATAAATGTAAGAAACTCGAGAAATTACACAAACTGGCAAACAAATGAGATAATAACAAAGAATTTCAAAAGCATCAAAAACAAATGAGATAATAACAAGCCTAGCCCAATCTCTGTTTCATTGAAGCATCAAAAGTTTCTTAGGAAACAAAGAATTTCAAAAGCAAATCTTTGCTCTATTCATTTCATCTTCTAAAATTCTTACATATTAACTAAGGGCCTAAGGCACACTTTAATTATAGTAAAGAACAGAAGAAAATCAACACTGCAAAGCTGAAAAGGCCGACCATTAAATTATAACAAAAATTAGTCACCTCAAGTCTTCAACAAATTAAATCAAGCATACAACATAGGCTTTTGCCTATAAGTGCAGAGCTGTCTCATTTTATTTTTGCTAAAGTTAGAAGCCTTGCATTTCATGCTTATCAAGAGCTACACACATCATCTAATTTTCTCATGCTACAACACAGCCCATAACAGTACAAGACATTATAAATATCCACCCATACATTTTAGATATAAGCAATTCAATACAATAGCAGAAAATTAACATACTAGCTGTTATGTTTTAACTAAATACTCACAAGATGAAATCCATGAGGTCCAGGAGTAAGCCCAGTTATACGAACTTTCACAGTGGTAGGACCTATTTGAAACAAGAGACAATGCATAAATGTTATTACTATGGCCACAAATTTCGTATCTAATAGACTACATATACAAATTTAACTAACAGCTCCAATGTCAAAACCTTCAATACAATACTTACAGTTCCTGGGCGAAAATCGATTTATTCAAGCAGAAAACAATAAAATAAATTTAATTGCAGCCGAAATTTTCATATCTGGAACACATAGAAGTTTTCTGCATACACAAATTCAGCTAAAATCTTAAAAAATCAAAACCTAGAATGAAAACGCTTGTTATTTTCGTCGATGGTTGATTTAAAAAAGCAAAAATCAAGTGAGTTCAGAGCACGGAGAAGACAGACCATCGCCGTCTTGTGTGAGAGTGACGACGCCTTCGACATTGGAGGTGCCTTTGAGTACAGCGACGACCTTCTTGGAGGAGGCGACGACGGTGAGGGGCTTGGGGGCGGAGACGGCGCGGAGGGCGAGCGATTGGTGAGCGGGTTTGTTGTTGACTTTGAGTGACACGCCGTGGAAAGATTCTCTTATTCAACTGACAATAGTTTACCTCAACACTATCCTTTACAATCCACCAGCACAGGTAATAATCTTCTTTCTTATCATGAGAGTGATAGGTGTATAGAACTACATAGCAATCTCTGCTGTAGAATTTGCCAACATCATCTTTGGGAGCTGGAGTTTTTGCACTGCCATTGATGCATCAAACCTGATATAAAGGCAGCATTTAGTATTACATAAATAGATGGCAGCTGTCACCGGTATGAAATTTAAAAGATAACACCACATCTATTTAACTATCTTGCAATGATCAATCAGAGAGAGAATTCCTAATACAAAAAAAAGTTCTTAAAATATTAGTGAATGATGTTCATTTTATCTGTGTATTTCCTGCCACTTACAAACAACATCCATCATAGGTTTCTGTTGATTATTTAAGTATTTATTACTTCTAGTTTAAACAATTTTTTTTTTAAATGTGTTATGGGTAATTTTAAGTAAGATTTGCACTCTATATGTACCAGAAATATTGAATTCCCACTGCAACAGCTTATAGAAACTCAAACTATAAACAACTACTTTGAAACACATTGAACATAATGTACTAAAAATTAAAAAATAGACAACAGTAAGTTTTTAACATGTTAGTCTAAGTACTCCATCATACCTAACAGTAAACCATTTCTTCAGCATGTTTAGATTTTCCAGATTCTAAGTGCTATTAAACACTACAGTATGTTGTTTGAAGAACTAGAGTAATGATCTAAAATCAAATGCTATTTTATTTTTATACATCATTGCAAAACAATTCAATAGAGATACCAAAGAGAAAGGCATCCATTCAAGAACCTGGCTGCCAAATTTTCCAAAGAGAAAGGCATCCATTCACCTCAGGAATTTGAACATCATTCAAGAACCTGGCTGCCAAATTTTCCAAAACGATTCCATCTGATGCAGCAAAAAAGGCTAGAACATGACTAATAAAGTGCTTTTCAGAATCAGACAGAGCTTCCAACTGCTGCACATCGGGAGATAGATCAACCTCCTCAGCTGAATCCCAAATTCATCGTATGGAACATTTTTTTTAAAAAAATACAGTAAGAGAAAGACTAAGCTACATACCAGATTGAAAATTTCTGGTGCTACCCAGATTCCAATGAAAAAATCTGGGTATAGGAGGCCGCATATTGGATAGCTGAACGTAGAGTAATTAAAAACTAGCTACATCGTGAAGGAAACAAACAAACAAACACTTAGGCATACCGAGAATCAACGTAGAGTAATTAAAAAATAAAACAGAGCTTTAGATGGATTAACTAAAATTCAATCAGAGAAACACCATAGAAGAAGAAGAAGAAGAAGAAGAAGAAGAGTAAAGAGTTACCTCTGAAGAAACTCGGGTTGATGAAGAAGACCAGAGCCGATGTAAATCGGGTAGCTCCGGTCACCCAAATCAACCTCAACAACCGTGGGGACGGGAGAAGATGCTTTACTCTGAGGAGACTGATCCATCACGGGAACCGCGGAGCTTGCAAACACCTTTAGTCGGTTGGGAGCATTAGACTCCAAACGGCACCGAGAAGGAAGAGTAGCGGAGGCAGGGAGGCGCACGGCGAAGTCACGTAGGGTGGCTTTGCGGTGGGAGTGTGGGGAGAAGGCGGGATTGGGTGGGCAGAAACAGGAAGACGCCATAGAGAGAGAGAGAAAGGTCGGAGCGGATGAAGGTCGGAGTGGATGAAGATTAGAGCGGATGGAGATGGTTTACGCGTAGCTACTGGGTGATGAATGAGATTCTATTATTCGCGTCCAAAGTATTGAGCTTTGGACGCGAATAATAGAAGACTTTTATTATTGGCGTCCAAAGTACAGAGCTTTGGACGCCAATACTGTTTTAAAATTAAAAAAAAAAAAAGAAAATTATTTATATAGTGACATTTTAATTACAAAAATGCCACCGCATTACACTTTAGGCGTCCAAAGTTCTAACTTTGGACGCGAATTAGTCGATTTTATTGATGTTTTTTGTACTAGTGAATGAAGCTGTTTAGAGGTTAGTTTCGGTGGGGTTGAATCAACTAACCCCTTGGTGAGCTGTCATAGGCTCCCAAATTAAAACCTTACAAACGTAGTAGCGGGAGTAAGGATCGATCCCACGAGGAGTAACTAGTTTAACTTTTGTGCTCAAGGAAATAATGGGGGGTTTGGAATATATCGAGAATAAAGATAAATTAAAAGAGAATTTAAATAAACAAGTAATTTAACTGAACGAATAAAGCAATGAAAATAATATATCGAAAACACTTATAATAAGAAACCTTGGTTAGTAAAGATCCACCACCGGAATTCAACACTGATCATTGATTAATAAAGTAATTAATATGCAATTGAATATTTGTCGTGAAATTATTTCATTTCTGTTTTCCCTTAGTTGTAGGTAACTAAAGCACACGCGGTTTAATTACCCCTAACTACTAAATAACCTAAGACAAGCGCTATAGATTTAATTTAATAGCAGCAATAGGAACTAGGAAAACCGACAAACTAAATAACACAAGCACAAGCGGTTGCATTTAATTTAGGAAAATATTCTACCCGAGTCCAATTATCACTAAGCCGTCAATAATTAACCCAGTTGCTACTGAATATTAGAATAATTTGTAGCATAACATTATCTAATATAGCAAATAATTATATCAAGTAAATAACTAGTAGGCCTCCCTAGCAATTAAATGATACAACTATTCAAATAACTTAGAAGAATATTTAATACCCAAATGCATAAAAATTATATAATAAAAATAAATAAATAATCTTACAGCATAATCAATTCCGGGGCTTCAATTCACTAAACCAAGCTAAAGAAATTAGCAATGAATGGACATTGATAACAGCTTTACAGAGTAATCGAGAGGGGAAGAAATGAACATTTTACAATAGGAAACTCCTACTATTTATAGCATTCTAAAAATAGGCTCAATGAACCTCAACCATCAAATTCTTATTTTTTATCGCTGCATGAAAATGTCTTTTGCATGACTCTCGGCGATGGAATCGCATTTCCTCTACTTTCCTGCATGATCCACACGAATTGAAGACAAAAAAAGACAACATAATTATAATCCTTATATTTGTTTTGTTTTTTTACTAAGTGGGCCACTTAATTTATTTAAATAATATATAATATATAGATATATATATAAAATGCATATATATAGTAGTAGTACGTAATAGGTATTATAAATTATATAAATTATATATTATATATTATATATTATATATATTAAATATTATATATAAAAAGAACTAATTATAAGATAATATTAAATAACTAATGCAAAATTATTATAAATATGTAGCTAAAATATGAGTGTAAAATGTGCCTATCAAACTCCCCCACACTAAAACGTTTGCTTGTCCCCAAGCAAAAATATTATTTACGAAGTAAATTGAAATAAAATTCTCAAAACTCATAACATATCATGAACAACAATCTGAAGCACACTGCAATTAATAAGGCAGCACCCGTATCTGAAAATTGAGAGAACTAAATAAGTAAGCCCTCACAAGAATATCACTCATCACTCAAGTGTTTGATAGGTATAAATTTCACTCAAGTTCATTCCTATAAAATTGTTCTACCATAGGCTTGCATATCTTCTCAATCACCACTACAAGAGTCATGCATGACACAAATCATAAGGACTTTTCATAGGTTGTAATGGGGCTAGGGTTAAGGTAGGAAATATTTTCGGAAAGTAGTTTAAATAAAACCTTCAAACTAGAGGAGCAAAATAAATACAATTAATCTAACACCCTCAATTTTTTTTCATTCAAAGCATTTCTCATTGACACTTCAACTATCATCCTCAAAAATAAAGATTTCCGCAATGTTACCAGAAATTCTCCTTGCTTCATTTATTTAGCGGTAACTTCAAACTCAAAACTAATTGTGGATTCTTTCTCATTTTCAGTAACATTTTTCCTTTTCAAACATATATTCTCCATTTTTCCATTTCATTTTTTTTTCAATTTTTCATGTTTTTTTTTTTTTTGAATCGTGAACTGCTTCCTCTTTTCTTTTTCATAGAAGACCAACAACATATTGGCAACGAAGATACAACTCACCTCACTCCCAATCATATTAATAAGAGTAAGTGATCTCCCCCATACTTATCCTTCCCAACCTCACGTAGATTACAAAAATAATCCAAAATTTGCTCCACTAGTTATTCAGCTGGGTGAAGGCATTACTTTAGATATAAAAGGCTTGTAATGTGGTCCAAAATAAAGAAAGGAATGGCCATAAAGCTCAAAGTGGTTAACAAAGGGAAATAAATCATAGGACAAACCAGTTATTTGGCTAGTGAGACTCAAAGTCAAATAATGGCCTTAATCACATTTGAATCATGCATGGTCTAATTAGCTTTAAAAGAGAATCAAGGCAAGTTCTAGAGAAACAAAATTATGGAAGAAATCACACAAAAGAAAGAAAATAAGACCGAAGTGTCAGTCAGTGGCTCAAAACACTTACAGGTTTATTGCTTACTTAATATAGCCACTACATATCAAACAAGAGATGCTAACAAACTAATCACAACTTGCCAAACTATTTATTCAATCATGTTATGCATTCCAAGAAAGAAAAAAAATATTATTTTTCAAAATAATACTTATTTAGCATAAAATACTAAGAAAATATTTGTGAAAATTTTTTGAAAATTTTGACATATGCAAACAAATAATAAAACTAAATTCCCTCCCCCACACTTATTATCAACGTTGTCCCCAATGTTGAATAAAAACATGCAGAAAAAGGGTTATTGAATGAGAATAGGGAATAAAATAAAATAAAATAAAATAAAAATGGAACAAACACACCTTAGGTTGCCTCCCAAGCAGCGCCTTTGTTTATCGTCGTTGGCTCGACTTATGATATATCTTTAAATTTTCATCGTCTTTTTGAGTACCTTCGATGATTATGAGTATTCAAAGAAACAGCCCCTTCATGCAGATTAGGACTCAAAGATGATTTATTATTTGGTTCTTCTTTATTTTCAATAGACGCAATTGCATTAAATTTAACAAGTTTCAAGGAATCAACAAAAATTGCAAAATTATCATCACTAGGAGATTTCATGGTATCATAAATATTAAAGTTCACAAATTTACCATTAGACTCCATTGTAAGCATGCCACTATGAATATCAATTTTCGTTTTTGCGGTTTTTAAAAATGGTCTTCCTAACAAAATATGAGAAATTTGATTATTATTTTCCATATCAAGGACATAAAAATCAGCAGGAAAAACCAAGTTATTAACTTTAACAAGCAAATCCTCAACCACACCCCTAGGATATGTAGTAGATCCATCAGCCAATTGAATTACTATACTAGATTTATTCAGGGGTCCAAGATTTAAAGAAGCATACACAGGATATGGCATAACATTAATAGAAGCTCCTAAATCTAACATAGCATTTTCAAGTTTAACACCACTTATCATGCACGGAATAGTAAACATACCTGAGTCTTTGCACTTTTCAGGAAGATTGCCTTGACTAGCCATAGAGACATTCTCTTGCACTTTCACTTCTTCAACTCCTTTATTTGGTTTCTTTTTCAAAGTGCATAACTCTTTAAGAAAGTTTGCATAGCGAGGTACCTTTTTCATAGAATCTAAAAATGGTTTATTAGCCTCACATTCACGAAATGTCTCATATAAATCATTATTTGAGTTTCCTCTTATTGGTTCTAAAAGAGCTTGAGGGAATGGGGGTACTGGTTCATAATCAGAAAAATAAGAAAGCATACCTTGGGACGTCTCTTTATTATTGACAATGATACCTGCACATACTCCCTTGTTTATATCGACGTTCTTTTCCAGCGACATACTTCTCACAGTAATTGCACTTACATTCTCTTTAGGATTAACGATCGTTTGAGAGGGTAATTTGCCAGAACTCTGTGCTTCCAACCGACTTACCGTAGTAGCTAGTTGGCCCACTTGCCTTTCTAAGTTTTGAATACTAGCCTTTGTTTCTTGAATACTAGCCCTTGTCTCTTGTTGGAATAGTTGTGTTTCTTGTTGAAACTGCAAAGTGTTAGTAGCAAGAGTTTTAACAATATCTTCTAGATTCGTACCTGAGCTAAAGTTTTGGGTCGGTTGTTGTCTTGAAGGAAATGGTTGTCTATACTGTTGAAAATTAGAACGACTCTGAACAAACTGGTTCCCTTGTGAGTTCCCATAGCTAAGGTTTGGGTGATCCCTCCAACCAGGATTATATGTATTGGAGAACAGATCATACTTACCTTGAGGTTGTCCAGGAAAACCTTCAGCCATGTTAACTTGTTCAATAGGTTCTTCTTGAAGAGTTGGGCAGGCATCAGTTTGGTGCCCAACTACCGAGCAAATTCCACATGCTTTTACAGTTTGCATATTGCCTACTGCTAATTGACGAACAAGAGTAGTTAAACCAGTAATTTGTTGTTCAAGAGCAGAAATATTTACCTCATTCACTTGCTTAGACGGTTGGACAAGTCTATTGCCAAACTGTTGAGAATTTGCATCCATGTTTGCAATTAGAGTTCTCGCAGCGTCCGGTGTCTTGTCAACTAAAGCACCACCGCTTGCGGCATCAATCATGCTTCTATCCATTGGAAAAAGTCCTTCATAAAAGTATTGAATGAGTAATTAATCACTAATTTGATGGTGTGGGCAGCTTGCACATAGTTTCTTGAAACGCTCCCAATATTCATATAGGGACTCTCCATTGTTTTGCCTTATACCACAGATTTCTTTCCTAATGTTGGCCGCCCTTGAAGCTGGGAAATATTTTTCAAGGAATGATGTCTTTAAGTTATTCCATGTGGTGATGCTCCCAGAAGGTAGATAGTATAGCCAATCCTTCGCTGAATCTTTCAACGAAAAGGGAAAGGCTCTCAACTTGATTTGTTCTTCAGTAACCCCTGTGGGTTTCATACTCGAACACACCACATGAAATTCCTTTAAGTGTTTGTGCGGATCTTCACCTGCAAGTCCATGAAAAGAAGGCAAAAGATGAATTAACCCAGATTTTAGTTCAAATTGTATATTAGCATCCAGAGCGGGAAAAGTAATGCATAAAGGTTGCTGATCCAAATTTGGAGCTCCAGGCTCTTTTAAAGTCCGATTTTGAGCCATGGGTTCCTCTTCTAAATCAGAATTGGTAGAATCGGTAGAATCGGTAGCCAGATCACTAAACTCCAATTTTCTCAAAGCTTGTTTCTTCCACCTGCGTATAGTTCTTTCAATTTCCGGATAGTACGGCAAGAGTTCTTGATTAGCAGATCGAGTTATAGGCATAAACAAGAAGAAAATATATTTTGATTTGCAATTATGTAAAAGTAATGAAAGAAAAGAAAATTATTATTTTTATTTTCGTTTGGGACAAATTGAAAAACAAATAAACAAATAACAAAATAAATAATTAAATAAATAAACAAACACAAAATAAGCTAGAAAATCTCTCCCCGGCAACGGCGCCAAAATTTGGTGAGCTGTCGTAGGCTCCCAAATTAAGACCTTACAAACGTAGTAGCGGGAGTAAGGATCGATCCCACGAGGAGTAACTAGTTTAACTTTTGTGCTCAAGGAAATAATGGGGGGTTTAGAATATATCGAGAATAAAGATAAATTAAAAGAGAATTTAAATAAACAAGTAATTTAACTGAACGAATAAAGCAATGAAAATAATATATCGAAAACACTTATAATAAGAAACCTTGGTTAGTAAAGATCCACCACCGGAATTCAACACTGATCATTGATTAATAAAGTAATTAATATGCAATTGAATATTTGTCGTGAAATTATTTCATTTCTATTTTCCCTTAGTTGTAGGTAACTAAAGCACACGCGGTTTAATTACCCCTAACTACTAAATAACCTAAGACAAGCGCTATAGATTTAATTTAATAGCAGCAATAGGAACTAGGAAAACCGACAAACTAAATAACACAAGCACAAGCGGTTGCATTTAATTTAGGAAAATATTCTACCCGAGTCCAATTATCACTAAGCCGTCAATAATTAACCCAGTTGCTACTGAATATTAGAATAATTTGTAGCACAACATTATCTAATATAGCAAATAATTATATCAAGTAAATAACTAGTAGGCCTCCCTAGCAATTAAATGATACAACTATTCAAATAACTTAGAAGAATATTTAATACCCAAATGCATAAAAATTATATAATAAAAATAAATAAATAATCTTACAGCATAATCAATTCCGGGGCTTCAATTCACTAAACCAAGCTAAAGAAATTAGCAATGAATGGACATTGATAACAGCTTTACAGAGTAATCGAGAGGGGAAGAAATGAACATTTTACAATAGGAAACTCCTACTATTTATAGCATTCTAAAAATAGGCTCAATGAACCTCAACCATCGAATTCTTATTTTTTATCGCTACTTGAAAATGTCTTTTGCATGACTCTCGGCGATGGAATCGCATTTCCTCTACTTTCCTGCATGATCCACACGAATTGAAGACAAAAAAGGACAACATAATTATAATTCTTAAATTTGTTTTGTTTTTTTACTAAGAAGTGGGCCACTTAATTTATTTAAATAATATATAATATATAGATATATATATAAAATGCATATATATAGTAGTAGTACGTAATAGGTATTATAAATTATATAAATTATATATTATATATTATATATTATATATTATATATATTAAATATTATATATAAAAAGAACTAATTATAAGATAATATTAAATAACTAATGCAAAATTATTATAAATATGTAGCTAAAATATGAGTGTAAAATGTGCCTATCACCCCTGAACAACTTCATTAGAAATTGATTCAACGCCGTCGCGTTAAATTTTATATAATTTATTTTTAATAAAGCTTACATGGACTCCAAATCAGTAGGAAATCGGTGCCGTGTCATCGTCTTTACCGAAAAACTTACTAAAAATGTTAGGCAGAAAAAAAATTGATTTATGGTTTGAAATATCACTTATCAAAGATTAGAGTGCGACATGAATAATCAGGAATGGTCATGGTGCAGGATGTCACTTTAACCTATATTTCATTTTTAATAAAGCTTACTTGGACTCCAAATCAGCAGGAAATCGGCGCCATGTCATCGTCTTTACTGGAAAACTTACAAAAAATGCTAGGTGGGAAAAAAATTTGGTTTATGGCTCGAAATATCAATTATTAAAGATCAGAGTACGGTATGAATAATCAGGAATAGTTCATGGTGCGGGATGACACTTTAGCCAATAAAATATACCTAGAACTTGGGGATTATCCAGAAAATTTGGACGGTGAAATTAATATTTTTATAAACCCAATGCTTTAAATATATAAACATACTCATTAATCTATATAAGAAAGGTCTTAGGTTCGAATCTCATTCCAATTAGAGTTGTTATAATTGTTAAACATATATTATGAATATGTTAAAATGTATTAAAAATATACTCCCCCGTCCTAATTAATTGTCTCATTTGCTTTTTGCACGATTTTTAATATAACATAACAAATGTTACTAACTTTCTAATTTTGCACAACAAAAGTAGGTGTTATTTGTACAAAGTACAATTGTACTTACCTCTAAGAAAATTTAAAAGTCAAAAGGGTAAATTGGGAAATGTAGAGTGATTGTTATGTTCAATTTTGGGAAGATGACACTATTTTGGGGCAAAATAAAAAGGAAAGTAAGACATTTAAATGGGACGAAGGGAGTATATAATATAAAATTTAACATAAACTTTGGTCAAATAATTAACCCGACTAAATACATAACATTCAAAGTTGAGCATTAAAGATTATAAATCAGGAACTTTAAAAATCATTTGATTATCTTGATTTTTTTTTTTTTAAACAAATTTAAGTTAAGTTTTTTATTTTATTTTTTATAGTTCAATTAATCTTCTTTTGACTATTTAGAACAAAACTTAATATTTCAATTATGCTTTTGCATTATTGGAATGATTTAGGTCATTATGGTATTAATATTTTTTGTATTTTTTTTTTATAATAGTACAATTGTACATTTTTGAAAGTAAGCATGGTGGTTGTATTAATCAATCAAAGCTGATAAAAAGTTTGGGGCACTGACTCCCAGGATAGGGAGTTAGCCTATGTAAAAGCTGCGACAGCTTAGGAATGTGCTAAAGAATTAGAAGTATGGGGATCATAAGAAACTGAACAAAAAAAAAATGCATCAATTCTCTGCATGCTGAAACAACTAGACTATCATACGACGGGATCGTCGTTGTTGACGTAGACAGAATCTAACATAGATTTGAACAGTCTGAATGAAGTACCGCATCCGTAACTCCGCGCTCCTGAAGCCAAGAAAGAGCCTTCTTGCAAGCTAGGATTTCCGCCATAAAAGGACTCAGGCAGGTAGATAGATGCTCATTCTTGGCCACAATGAAGCCCCGGCCACATTCGCATCAAACAAGATGAGCCCATACGTGCCCTCACCGGAGACGAAACCCGCATCAAAGGCACATAGTTGCTGGACTCCACCCGTCGATGTGCGAAGCCGTAGACGGAGCAACATTTGCTGATCGCCAAGCATCAAACGCAGCCGAGGCAGCTGCCCAGACGCGGTTCGGCATGGCCAACTTCGATTCCCATACGGCCGAGTTACGTTGGAGCCATAATGCATGCATGACCGCCACCATCTTCTCAAAATGTGTCTTTAAGAACATTCTGCATAACCTCCTCTAGCCATCCACCAAAACCATTATCCTCCATACACTGCACCATTAATCCAGGAATATTCCATACATTCTTAGAATAAACACAAGTAACTAAAGAATGCATGATAGTCTCATGATGTACACCACACATAGGGCATGCAAGAGGCACCTCTACCCTCCTATTATATAAATTAGACGTAGAAGGAAGCACATTACTTAAAGCACATTACAATTGTACATTACTTTACAAATACTATTATTTTTTTATCGGACAAAATTTTTCTTACATCATTGTCAGACCTGCGCGGCGTAACTACAAAGTTGTTGATCATAAATACAATTACACATAACACATGGACTCTAAAACGGTAGGGCCATTTTCAAATAATTGACAAATATTAACATTCTACTAGCTCCAATTGAACAAGTTTGCACATCAGAATTTTATCAATGTATGAAAACTTCTAAAGAAATTTTTAAGTTAATTTTTACTAAATCATTATAACAATATATATTGTAACCATATATTTTGAATTATTTATTATCATCTTCTATTAACAGCAATTGTAGAAATTGTCATTGACAAACTCTCAAAACAATTTGACTCAACAAGGAATGGAAAATTAAAAAAAAAATAATTTCATTATTGTTGATGAAAAGTATGTACGGCACTTTATTACTCTTATTATTATTATTATTTTTTTGAAATTAGTTGTTTTCAAAAAATAAAAATAAAGAAATTAGTAGCTACACCAAAAAATAATACATATGCATTTAATTAATTTAGAATTA